GCAGACTCCCCGCTGAGCAGGGAGCCCGATGCGGGACTCGATCCCGGGACTCCAGGATCATGACCCGAGCCAAAGGCAGTCGCTTAACCAACTGACCCACCCAGGCGCCCTGGAACTGTTTTTAAATGAAAGAACACTCAGGAGGAACTAGGTCTTTCCAGGCAGACAAAATGACATCCTCCTTCTCACCGGTCTCCTCAGCTGGGGACCCTGAGCTGGCAAGGGTGTAGGGAAGAGAAGGGGTGCCCTGGACGCAACCGGCCACACTGGAAAAAGAGGTGGCCAAGCGAGGCGAGCAGCCCTGCAACTCCACCCTGACACCCTGCACAGGGGATCGGGTTTCAGGGTCAAAGACCCTAAAAGGTACCACATTTCCTGTGTTAGGCTGAACGGCAGGCACAGGTGGCTGAGGACCAGAAAGGGGCTCCGACGTCCCCCTGCCCGGTGGGGCAGGCTGGCAAACCCAGACCATCCCCAGCCTCGCTCACCTCTCCCTTCTTCACGGTCATGGACTGCCGGCGGGGCGTGATCTCCTCGTTGATGCTGGACAGGAAGTTCTGTGAGATACGGAGGGCATCCTGCAGCAGAGGGTGGTCGGGGTGGCTGGAGGGCGTGTGCTTCAGCAAGTCCTATGTCAGGCGAGAGGGCTCAAGTCAGAAAGAGCACAGCCCTGGCGCCACCACGGTGTGCAAACTGCAGACACACGCCAGGCAAACTCAGGACACCTCGTGGACAGGCCGGGGCTAGGCGCACAGTGCTTCTGTGAGCACCATCTCAGAAGCAGGTCCAAAACCTAGACGGTGCTCCCACAAGTCCGTGCTGTGTGCACAGGGGCTCCCACTCTCGGGGTCTAGGGCAGGGTTTGTCCACCTGGGCCCCAGTGACATCCTGGGCTGGATCATTCCTTGTGGTGGGGGCCGTCCTGTGCACTGTAGGCCGTCAGCCCCCCACCCCTGGCCTCTATCCACTAGATGCTGGCACTCCTTTGCAGTTGTGACTTTGCAGCTGCGACAAGAAACAAAGTCTCCAACATTGCTGCATGTCCCCTAGGGGGCAGAACTGGCCTCGTCCAGGACCACTGGTCTGTGCAAGCTCAGGAGAATGCACCTGGCCTTCCCCGCTCCTCCTGCTTTAGAGAAGAGACTAGACCTCTTTAGAATACAGATGGAAACGCTGACTCCTTCTCCACTAGGAATGCATGTAATTCGTGCTCAAGGTCAATAGCTCGTTGGTTCAGAAAAACGAACTCCCCTTAGCTTTCAAATCTCCCGTGCAGAGATGAAATAAGCCTGGAGGAAAGCTCTGGTGCCCATGGTCCCAGGAACCCCACGTCATCCCTGGGCGGCTCTGGCTTCTCCCTGTCAGGACGCTCAGAGAGGGGACAGGATAAAGGTCTCTGAGACTCCATCCAATGGGCCACCAGCCAGAGCCGCCGCCTTCTTTTTTTTTTTTTTTTTTAAAGATTTT